TGAAGGGCGGGCCTGGTGCAAGTGGTAGAGTACTACCGACTGTGACCGGAAGGTCCCGGGTTCGAGCCGCAGCCTCCTTGCATTTGCTCATCGCAAGGGCAAGGCTTGCTGCTAATACCCTTCCCCAGACCCCGCACAGTGCGGGATGCTCTCAGCACTGGGTACGCCCTTTTTTTTTCGACTCAACGTTTCAGCTGACTTGGATACGTAATAGGATTCTACCTAACTGAAAATTTGTTGTTTTTTAGCATATAAAGGTTATTTGGGGATGTATGAATGAAAATCAGAAAGTCGTAGTTTTGCTGGTTTTTTGTATGTTAATTTTGGCTTAATGGTTAATATCTATTAAATTTGTTGAGAAAATTATTTGACAATTTTATTTATATACGTGCACATAAGTTTGTTTCAGAAGAAAACAAGCGTGGTTTGGCTGAAGTACGGAATGAGGGTGCTTCAGCATCCATTCCACAAAAGCAGAAAACCTCGAAGGCAGAGAGACGTGCAATTCAGGAGGCTCAACGTGCTGCTAAAACTGCAGCGAAGGAGGCAGGTAATTATCTTGACATAGGGTTTTGTGGAGCGCTGCTTGAATCACACAAAGCCTCTCAGCATGTCTGACTGTTTATTTTTTGTTTGTTGGCCTAGGGTTTGGTGGTAGAAAATGTGCCTATGAATATGCTCAACTTTGTTATGATGATCTTGCACGTGTGTAATGCAAGCATAGCACCCAGTCATATTTTTCACGTTACTTTGCATTTACAGATAAATCAGGAAAATCTGCTGGTGCTGCGATGTCCAAGCAAGCCAAGCCAGCAAAAACTGCTCAGAAGAAAGATGTGCCACAAGCTGCAAGTACAGTTGCTTCTGAGAAGAAGGCTACTGAGCGTCCTCCAGAAAGAGAAAGAAAGTTAGATGCTCCTCATCCCCGCATGCAGTTTGATGATGTGCATAAGGTGGAGAAAGCAAAAAAACGTGCAGTAGTCAACCAGTCGGAAGCTCGAAACAGAGTTGAACTGTTCAGGCATCTTCCTCAGTACGTGCATGGCACTCAGCTTCCTGACCTCGAGTCAAAATTCTTTCAACTAGAACCAATGCATCCTTCTGTATACAAGGTAACTGTTGTGTTTTAAACCTACCCTGACATTTATGTACTCCTACTATAGATCTCAAGCAGGATTAGTCAATGATCTATTCTTCACCCACGCAAAATCTTCATGCATTTGGAGTAGGACTAAGGTGTAGGAAGCTATGCAACATGCAACTGTTGGGTTACTTCTACAGATACGAGGATAGTTGATCATGATGAAACAGTCATTGCTGCCTTACTAATCACCAGATGCTGGATTACCTTGCTCTCCTGGTCCTAAGAATTTTGACCTGGGCCGAAACTCAAGACACCCTCAACTTGTTTTGTCCTTGAAATGTGTCATGTATCTGCACCTAAGTTGGTTTTTTGTATACAATTTAGCCTTCTTTTTCTCTTTCCAATATCCATAAATGTAGATAATGTTAAATATGTACACCTGCCAAAGACTTTGCATAATACGTTCATATGTGCTCTAGCTCTATATACAAGAATACTAAAGATAAGCCTCCGTTGCACAAGAGCTACGCCACTAAGGCTTATGTTTTGTTTTTGATTCATTATGAATTTTGTTGGGAACTCTTAAGAAAGCAGAGTTCCATGACAGTAGAATTGCATTTCCCGGGTGACTAGCCCTGTTTGTCTTCTGCACATTGTTGAATTCTAGAAAATCTGTTCCTTGAGATCACTTCCGCGCGTCACCATCTGAACTTTATCTAAGCTATATATTGTGCTGTAAATGTTTAATGGTGTATGGTGATCCCTGTTTACTATTGAGTTGTACACTGGTTAAACTATACCATTTAGGCCCAGGCAAAACTAGTTTGCGAGCCAGATTTATGTTGTTATTGTTATTGTTGTTGATTGCTTAGATGTTTGGTGGTGCTGACTTCTGAGTAGCAAAGAAAATAGCTAATAAAAATTAAATAAACTGATTATTGTCCATTTTGGTATCATCTGATTGACTCATCTGGACTTTTACTATATTTCAGGTTGGGCTCCAATATTTATCTGGTGAAGTATCTGGTGGTAATGGTCGTTGCATAGCAATGCTTCTTGCATTCAGAGAGGCAATAAAAGATTACACTACACCTCCAAACAAAACTCTCAGCAGAGATCTGACTGCAAAAATCAGCAGTTATGTGTCATTTCTTATTGAGTGTAGGCCTCTTTCAATCAGCATGGGCAATGCTATTAGGTTTCTGAAGAGCAGGATTGCAAAGCTACCACATGCATTGTCAGAGTCTGAAGCCAAAACTAGTCTTCAGTCTGATATTGGTCGTTTTATAAATGAGAAGATAGTTCTTGCAGATAAAGCTATTGTCAGCCATGCCATCACAAAGGTCAGAGACAATGATGTCTTACTGACATATGGATCATCATCAGTTGTTGAAATGATTTTGGACTATGCTCATGAACTTGGGAGGAACTTTCGAGTTGTAGTGGTAGATTCTCGCCCAAAGCTTGAGGGACAGGCATTGCTGCGGAGATTAGTGGCAAAGGGCATCACCTGCACATATACACACATAAATGCCATCTCATACATCATGCATGAAGTAACTCGAGTCTTGTTGGGTGCCTCATCAATATTATCAAATGGGACAGTTTATTCTCGAGTTGGGACAGCATCGGTGGCTATGGTTGCACATGCATTTGGAGTTCCAGTTCTGGTTTGTTGTGAGGCATACAAGTTTCATGAGAGAGTGCAACTTGATTCTATATGTGCTAATGAGCTTGGTATGGATATTTTGTCGTTTATGAATATGTTCACCTCATGCATGGGAACTACTTGACGACTTGACGTGAGTTTTCTTACTCAGGTGATCCAGATGTCATTTTGAAAACTCCTGGGAAGGCAGAGGACCATCTTAAGAACTGGGCAGACAATGCAAATCTCCAATTGCTAAATTTAACGTATGTTTCTGAATTCTATAAACCAGCAATTCCTTCTGATACTATTCCCCTCAGTGTAAATAATGTTGCACATCTAATAGGTATGATGCCACCCCGCCTGACTATGTGTCGATGATCATAACAGACTATGGAATGGTAAGATATGCTTCTCACTATAATCAATCTTCTAGGTTATTATTTTTTGAATATCGGTGCAAATGTTATCTTTTTTAACATAATGCATCTAGTTACTGCAGTCAGTTAACAACAGAATGTGTCCTTTTTATCAATGAATCTATTCAACCATGTAAACATAGTTTAATCTGCTTGAACTGTTTTTATTAGGCGTCTTGTTCTGTATACATAGGCTACATTCAGATTGACCATAATGTATCCAACATCTTCAACATAGTGTTTTCTCTCTTTGAATATTTACTCATGGCACTTGCACAGTTCTGTAGAAGCAGCTGGAAACTTATTTATGAACCAAGTAATGCTTGACCTTTGAACTAGGTTAACTGGTTGTGTTCTGTTGCACCAAACTAATCTGCTGAGTTGGGTAGGCCATGCCACTCTAAACTCCAGGCAATTACACATATGATGTCCCCTGTACATTTGTACTTCCTGCTGTTCGGGAACCTTTGCCTCACACACTAACAGTGACACACCATTATGTATTTCTTTGCCTCTATACTTGTGTTTTTGTATAATTTATAAAAATCTGATATTTGTCATCACATTAATTTGACCTTGTAATCTATTTGTACATAATGGTGCGCATGGGCCATGGATGCCTACTTTTTTTTTTCTGTATACATAGGCTGCTGATATTTATACATCTCTCACTGATATTTGCCGCTAAACTATCCTGAACTCGTTGGCTTCTGCAGTTATACATGGTCCATGGATGCCTAGTTCATTCCAATTTTGTTTAGGATTTATAGGTAACATGTGGGCCATTTGGTCAAATATTGATTGGTGTTGTTTCCTGTTGCAGCTTCCGCCCACTAGTGTACCGGTCATTGTGAGAGAGTACCGCAAGGAGCAACTGTGGATATGACTCACTGCCCTACTGCCGTATGGTAGCATTTTTGGTGACTTTTGCCTGAGTGCAACATGATAATGATTGCACTGTTGGCCTGAGGTTTTTTGTCTGCCCTTGTTGCCTTTTTACCAAAAGATGGTTCGTCCTGTTTTGCGATCACCTGTATAACTTGCTACTCTATGAAGAGCTCACTCTTGCACTCATGTGCCCTCGGACATTGTTGAGTCGATGGACCAATGAGTACCTTTTTTTTCAAAAAAGTTATTCTGGTCACAAACATCCATGGGCTCAAGTTATTTCAATGGAATGTCACCTCCAACCACAGAGAAGGTTGTATCGTGAACATTTTGATATGGTCTTATATACTCAATGTTGAACGCTAATTTGTACTGTGGTGCCCATGTTTGGCCGTTTATACAAGCATCAGTTGCCAATTTACCGACCAATGTTTAGATAAATGGGCTGTCATTCGGAGAATTTGCTCTGGGTCTTTCACTGACCGGTGCAGTATGTGAAGCATTCCTGGACTGGAGACTAACTGGTTCATGGCATCGGACCCTCCAAGGATTCACACTGATCTTGGGCGCTCCGTTCGGCTGAAAATACTGTTCTAGCTGAAATGTTGGGAAAGAAAAATACTGTTTCGGTTGAAAAAAAAAGCCGAACAAGTTGGATATATAAGGTAAGCCGAACGAGGCCTAAATCAACAATAATCATATAACTCCAGCCCTGTTAGTACAACGATTCTTTCCGTCAACAATGAAATGTTCAAACCATCCAATTCGGCATTGTATAGCGCAGATAAAGGAACAAGATCGACTCCGTGCAGCTACATAGCTGAATTATACATCTTAAAACGAACAGAACGACTATAAGCCTACACCTCAAGTCCCCAACGAATGCTAGTTACAGCGCAAAACTAACAAACGGAAAGTTTTTTTCATGGCAACAACGATCTCTCAAATGTACCAGGGCAATCTATTGACATATTTGCTCGACCGCAGCCACAATCTGGGCAGGCTGCACAACGGTTGCATCCTCCAAAGTCGCAGCATATGGCGTAGGCACATCCTGAGATGACAAGCACATAATGGGGGCGTCAAGGTAGTCCCAGAAGTTGTCGATGATGGCCGACCTCAGGCTGGCGCCGATCCCACCCGTACGCATGCACTCCTCCACAATCAGCACGCGGTGGGTCTTCTTGATGGAGTTGCCAATAGTGTGCAGATCAAACGGCTTCAACGACCTGATGTCGATGACCTCGGGATCGTACCCTTTGTTCACCAGAGTCTTGGCTGCCTGCATCACGTGGTACCTCATACGCGAGTATGTGAGTATAGTCACATGCACCCCAGGCCGCACCATCTCGGCCTCCTCCAAGCAGAGCACGTATTCCTCGTCCGGAATTTTCTCCTTCAAGTTGTACAGAAGGACGTGCTCAAACAGCACCACAGGGTTCTCACTCCTGATGGCAGCTTTCATTAGGCCTTTAGCATTGTAAGGAGTTGAGCAAGCAACCATCTGCAGGCCTGGAATCGACTGGAAATACGATTCCAGGCGTTGTGAGTGCTCTGCTCCAAGTTGACGACCGACACCACCAGGGCCACGGATCACAACTGGGATTTTAAACTGGCCACCAGAAGTGTAATGAAGCATGCCGCAGTTGTTTGAGATCTGGTTGTAAGCAAGGAGGAGGAATCCCATGTTCATGCCTTCAACAACAGGCCTCAGCCCTTTCATTCCCGCTCCAACTCCCATGCCAGTAAATGAGTTCTCTGCAATAGGGGTGTCCAGAACTCGAAGGTCTCCAAACATATCAGCCAAACCTTTTGTCACCTTGTAAGAACCACCATAATGACCAACATCTTCACCAAACACGCACACTGTTGGATCTAACTTCATCTCTTCTATTAAGGCCTCACGAAGAGCTTCAAACAGCAAGACCTCATGACTAAAAGGAAAATAAGTAAAATTAGGAATTTGCAGACAGGCACAAAAGAAATCAAGGATAGGTAAATATTAGTCGTATCGTCAGTCCTTACATACTTCCAGTACAAGGAATAGACACATTAAAAGAGAAAAGCTCCATTTTCAGGGAACATAGAAATGGTTAGCCAAAGACTATTATGGTTTCTTACATATTGCTAACCGTGCAAGCAGTCATGGTCTGCGATTTGTACTTCCATATATCTCAGAACAGGTTAATCAGTTTCATGCAATGAACAAAATGCAGTTACTTTGAGTTAACACCCAAATCCCAATAATCTTTCTGAATGGGAGGCAGTGATGTAAGCCTATTTTGCTCCAGTGTCATAATATAGATATCTTAAGATCTGTTCTTTTTATTAATGAATTTACTTCTTGGATAGTAAATGATGAAAACAGGCACCCCATCCAGTGCTGCCAAGTACCAAGTAGAATAAAAACAGAATATTATGTCTCCAGTTTTATTTAGCAAATAGATTCATTTAAGCAAGCAAAGGCACATAGACAAAATACTCATCTTCCTTGGCTATTGTAAATTTGCAATTACTTCAGGTTAATAACCTATTCAATACATACTAAACGAAATAGCAGGTTCGGTGCCAAATTTCATCTTGCAATCAATTCAATGGTGACAACCTCATGTACCATAAAGCTTACAACATATAGTTCTAACATAACCTAGAGGTAGCTACAACCAGTGATTATTCATTTATTATTGTAGCCGAATTAGAAATCCATGCTCAAAATCACACTTTGCTGCTTAGTCCACTCATATATTTGTCTTTTCTGGGTGGGACATGTGGGTGCGCTAGTGATTGAAGAGAGAACAGGCGGATGACCGCAGCTCATTTTTCTTTAACAAAAAATCATCAAACATATGAGAATGTCCAATATAAAAAGTTGATCGTCTCAACTTCTCAAGCGTATGTCCCTGCCTTATGCCACTCAAACAGTCTAGCCACGTGCAACTACAGAGTACGACTACTTTCAGGTTTCAACATACACCAGGTCGCATAGAACACCAAATGAAAACAATTAACTGCCACATAAATGGATTGATCCTGTTGGAATTCAGGGAAGTATTGCATCATTTTTTGTACGATCCGATCTAACTATTGCAGCTTGCAAGGGTCTTGTACTGGTAGCATTGGTAATGTTTAAAGTTAACTAGCACACCTAAGATCTCCACAGAATTATAACGACGATACTGCACCAACCTAAACTATGGCAACTTCCATACCCCACTGGTTGCCCTGGTGAGCCTATAAACTTGTCTATTTACACTATATCAATTTAAATAGTTGTCCCGTGATGATTGACCTAGATAAGATCATAAGAACAAGTGCAATAAAAGTCTATTAGACCTACAAGTAAGTATTATGTGCTGTAACCCTTCCGTTGAGATGTTCAAGTCTAAGAAAATTATGTCATGGTAACCACACCTAAGAAACAAGTCAACAGATCCTAATCAAGTTCGAATCGGAACATAGCCCATTGAGAAGGCATACCACGCCAACGTAAACAGAATAATTGGTTTTGCGCGGATCCTAAAGCACCACCGAGTAGTAGAAACATATGGACGCAATGAGTAAAACGTTCTTACCCGTCAGACTTGCCGGCCACGGCGCTCGATGGCGCATCCGCCTTTGCCTGCGCAAGAGAACACACACAAGGAGGAAATAATTCAGCACACCAGCAGCAAATGACAACGCGTGCTGCAACCAAAGAAAAACAGCTAACGAACTCAGAAGAGCAATGTCACGCAACTGCAACCGCTGCACGCGCCACCATCCTTCCGCGTCCCGCCGGCGCCGCCGACACGGGCACGACCCTCGCCGCTGCAGCAGAGGGAACACACGAAGCAGGTTTCCACAACTTGTAGGGAGCTAGGAAATCCGAGCAGATATGGTACGATGATAGAGAGAGGCGTACCGGAGGTGGATCGGACGCCGGCGCAGGGGGCGGTGGCCGGGGCCGCAGCGCGCAGCGAGAATGCGGTGGTCATTGGGAGGATCGGGGTTTGGGATCTCGGAGCGCAGAGGCTGCGGCAGCGATGGTGGGTTGCGTTTATAGGCAGAAGAGGTGGAGTTGGGTTTGGTTCATTGGTTGGGCGTAGGTGGCGATGGTGGACTAGTGGAGGAATGGAGGCGGCGGCGGAGAGAACGAGGCGGGAGGGGCGGAGGGCGGACCGGGAGAGGAGAGGAGGGAAGAGGCGGGCAGAGATGGGCTGTGGACCAGGTCTATAGACCATAGGGAGATAGAAGGATTGTTTTGGTGGGCCAACCCGGTCCATAGGTTTGAAACTTTGGACCAAACTGGTCGGAATCAGGTAGTAGCATAAACATTCTCAAAAAAAAAAATGGTAGCATAAACAGAATGCACTTTGGCCAAATGCACTCGCACGAGGAATTATAAGGCTGCGATCTTGCACTTTTTTCTCCACGTGTCACTACCAAAGTCCAACAAATAGGATGCTAGAATCATAAGGGTGCATTTGAAACGTTGAAATTTTATATGAATTGACTAAAAAAATTATAGGATCAATTCAATTTCACATGAAAAATGTGTGGTAGAAAAAAAATATAGATCAATTAACACCCTGTTTGGATGTTGGCATTCAGCATGAAATTGAGGAATTGAAATTGTATATCTTCAATACCAAGTGTTCGGATGTTTTGGAATTGGATCTTGGAATTTGACTCCCAATTCCAAAGGATATTCTCACAACACAAAACAAGCAGCCCAATACAGACTTGTGAGGCTTGGTTTTGGCTGGAATTGATGCCGCCTCGTCTCACTAGTGTGGAGGGGGTAGAGCTCACTGGAGTGCAAAGGGGTCAGGGATCGACGGCGCACGGGGGTCGCCGATGCGTGGAGGGGGCGAAGCTCGCCGGAGCGGAGGGGGCGGAGCTTTAACTGGCGCGGCAGGGGGCGACGGTCGCAGGCGCATGGAGAGGGGCCGCAGTCGTCGGTGCATGAAGAGGGGGCGGGAGTAGCCGGCGCGGAGGGGGCAAATGTGGCTGGTGCATGGTGGGGGTGGATCCAGGGCGAAGGGACCTACGCCGGCTAAGATGACGAGGTACAAATGTAGTCTCTGATTTTTGTGGTCCAATTTGAAGACATCCATACATATGGATTTTGAATCGCAGTCCAATACTATTTCAGCATGTCATGGATTTGGAAACGCAATTCCGTTGACCCAATTCCATTGCCAACCTCCAAACAGAGCCTTAGATGCTTTCATAAGTTGTACGAGGTATTCACATGGCACAATGCTTACATGAAGTTGTTCAAATTCCATGTCAACATGGAGCTTCACAAAAGTGCTCATGGAGGCATCACCGCTCGCAGGGAAAACTGTTGCCCCCTCGCCCTGCCTTGAGGACAGCACACCATGGTCTTACTCAACAGCAACATCGATGGGATGACGCAACCCACAGAGAGGCATGTGGCGGAGTTTGGTGACCACATAGTCAACACGCAAAAGGACCTAATAATCCAAACAAAAGCCGCCATGAACACCCCCCTTTGAAGGTTTTTTTAGGAAAACATGCCCCGTTTATTTCGCTGAAATTTAGCTTAAGCTGATTTACTGTGAGAGAAAAACATTGTTTGTTCGCTGAAAAATACTGCTGAAGAACAAGACGCTTATCAATTTCAATTGTTAACTAAGATATGCGATTTGGGTTATCCTCGAGCGCTACAGAACTTGCATCGACACGCTATTTCTTTGGACCTGCCTTCATCTACAGGGTGTGAGAGAGAGAGAGTAGTGTTTCACTGTTGTGATGGAAAGTTTGCATAAGGACGTAATGAAGGACAGACAGGGGCTCTCTTTGGCCATCTGGGGAGCAAGTAGAGTTATAATTATAACTACATGTAGTAGTGCAGTTTCTCTAATGTAGAAGGTATTCGACACTCACTATCAAACAGCAAGTCAGTAGACAATTGGCAACTGGGAATAAATTTGGAAGAGTTCAGAGTTGCCAGCTAATGAAGTATGTTCAACAAAATTGTTATGAGAAGGCATCCCATACTCATCAAATCAAAATATTTGGATGAGATCCTGAATTGTTACTCAGACCTTATGCCTTACTCTAATGTTTCTTTTTGAACCCAAGGAAGACATTAAAATATGTAATTCAATTACAATGAAATTAAATTTATTACATCTAGCACTGTCAATGATGATACGGAGTGGAATTTCCCACATTTTGGTGCTCCTTGCATTCTTGTCATAATGCTATACTGTAATTATGTACTATCACCTTGCCTATATTAGATAGTGACCAATACTTCAAAACATCTACGACAAACTGAATAAGCCTAGGTGGTTGCAGGTAGAAGTTAGAGCTTGTAGGTGTAATTCCAGGTCATAGTTACCATGTCAAACTCCCACAGAATGGTAAATATAGAATATGGTAAACGTTCTCACACAATGAAAAGCTACATCGGCCATGGTTTATCAAAGATTAGCTACTCATGGTCAATTGATTTCTTAACAATTTTAACCTCTGCATAGATTTGGTATCATGATTCATGATAGCCTCATCTGACATATATTTGGTCACAAGTTTTTGACAAATAGGCATGATTACAAGATTCACATAGGAACTGAAAGTACTACTCCGATAAGATGACACTAGTACTTTTGATCACTTTACAACTTTAGACATAGTTGAATGAACTTAAACAAATCATAACGGAAAAGGAAACAGAACATCCAATTTGTATGCTCACACAACCACCAGAACATCCAATTTGCAAGCTCACTTTACAATTGAGTTCAGGGTGCAAATTAGCGTGCAAATGGGTCACAAACCTTGGTCTAGTCTAGAATTACCAAGCAATGGCTTCCTACAAGGATTCCAGTTGAAGCAAAATTTTGGCTTGGCGACCTTGACCACATTCGGGTCACAAACCAGATGAGATAAGAACTTGCCATCCCCCTCACCCTGAACTCAAACCAATCCAAGCCTTCTTTAACCATACTTCCACAAAGACTAGAGCCATTAGAGAGCCAACTATGCGTATCTTTGGATCTGCAACTGCCACCTACAGGCATCTTTTATACCAGATAAATGAACAATTTGTTCCAATAATGGTCAGTCTTGTGTACTACTGTAGTAGCTATTTTAAGTGAACTCTTGTTCCTCTGAAAACAAGAACCAGCTGGACCATTTGTGCTAAGTATATTAGTGGAACCTGAAGTGTCAATTTTCGTTACAACTCTGAACAAAGCTACCAATAAGGCGACAGCTGAGGGTTCTTACCTGCCGGAGTGCCGGACTTGGGGACCACCGTGCTCTGTGAATCCGTCTTCCTCTGCTCACCAAACAAGTCAACTACACAGAGCATACAACAGCAGACGGCACAATGCCGGCAAAGCGCAGCACGAATCCAGCAAACGGCGAGCCTCGAGCAGCACTAAGCGCACCTGCAGCGGACCTGGGCCTGCGGGCTCCCCAGCCGCCCGGAGACGCGGTGCTTGCAGCGACGAGGCGGCCGGCCGTCGACGTTGGGGCTGGGCTGGGGTTAGGCACTAGGGGGGTGGGTTCTGACCGAGGAATGGAGAAGCTAGCTGCTAACGTCGTGGAATACAGGCGGTGGTCGCGGCTGCCGCGGCTCGTGGAGGCGGAGCGGGCACCGGAGATCGGAGAGAAGGAAGCGGGGTTTATGCTCGCTGTTGTTGGAAAAAATTCAGAGATGGCGTCGAAAGCGACTCACGTTTACCTCGTTTGGTAGATGATGATGCCATCACTGTCAGTCAATTATCAGCTATCCCCACGTGGCGGCCACGTCACCACTCGAATTGAGAGGGAGAATTGGAGCGAAGAAACGAAGAAGAACATAGCCAAGAGAGACTACTGTGTAAGAACAAATGGCATCGATTCTCTTACGTTGTGTCTAAGTTTACACGGCAGCTAAGCTCAGAGGAATGGACAGCAAGTCGGCAACGTTATTCTTGTTCTAGCTTAGCAAGCAAACCCAATCATGTTTCAGTTTCATTGGTTTCATGTGTCATGTTTCTCTGAACTTATCAGCTATGATACTGTATTTTTCTCTCACAACAAATCAGCTTTAACTGGTTTATTAGCCACAGAAACCATATAGTCACATTGCACCTTAAAATGGTCCACACATCATGGTCGGTCAATATCAGTCATCTTCACAAGGCAAACACGTCACCACCTGGATTCAACATTGAGGGAGAGAACTCAAGAGAACATACTGCATACGCATAGCCCTTATGTTGTCTCTAAGCTTACACGTCAGCTAAGCTAAGAGAGGAATTAAAAAGACGGCTTGTCGGTAACGTCATTCTTGTTCTAATTCTTTGGCAAGCGATGCAAACCCAATCATGATTCACTTTACCTGGTTAGCAGGGCGCTGCTGGTTAGTTCCTTCCGTTTCACGTAGGGAAAGAATTTCAATCTTCAAACCAAGCGTTCAATTAAGTGCCACGTCCCCAGATTTTGCAATAATATCCGAAAAAACAATTAGCAACATATATAGAATAGAAATCTCGCTGAGTTACATACAAAAGTCAAGGTTATAGTGTGATCATGTCTTTTCCTCTCGTTTCTTGATTGAGCACCGGTAATACTTAGCAGGTTGGATACGCCATAGTAGATTCAAGACTTGAGAACAAGAGGTTTTCTAGTGAGCTTCCCTGAATGTTACAAAATCTAGCATCTTATTAGACTAGACCTAGCTTCCCTGAATGTTACAAAATCTAGCAACTTAGACTAAACCTCAAATAATTCAACACATTGCTACAGGAAAATCAAGCATCTTATGGTCTTAAAATTATTCTGCCACCTAAAGGGCGTATCCAGTGCAGAGAGCTCCCGCTCTGTGCGGGGTCTGGGGAAGGGTGTTAGTGGCAAGCCTTACCCTCGCCTGTGCAATGCGAAGAGACCGCGACTCGAACCCGAGACCTTCCGGTCACAGACGGCAAGACTCTACCGCTTGCACCAGGCCCACCTTCTGTTCTCCCACCTAAAGGAGCCAAAAAAAAAATCGCGTTGTGAAATTCAGCAGTGCTTTGTGCATGCTACCGTCTGGTACTGGAGTTGCCCAATGCTGAAAGTTCAGCCAAACTCGTTGATCCTGAATTAGACTACAGAGATCACGATTCAAAGCATTTGTTTAAAGACTCGCATTTCCAATATACAAACTCAAACTTTTTAACTTGAAAACACCAAATTTCAACCCAATACTGTCAGAAAAATAAATTGTTCACTAGTCATTGAACTAGTGACATTCGATCCATAAAAAAAATGCATGGAAATCAAATAAAAAACTAGAAATAAGACATATCTCTTCCATAAAGGAATTGAGTGTGCCGCTTAACGCTTAACCAACCCAATCAGTTTCACCAAACGCGTATTTACAAGGACTTCGTCCAACCTGATCAGTTGCATGCTGGTAACTAGATCACAACAAAAACGTTCACAATCACAGCACTCCACCCTCTCAGGGCTCAGCTACAAGAAAACATCAAAATGCACTCTAAATCCCTGGATAGTCCTAAATGGTTAAATTTGCATCTCAAAACTACCAAAGCTGCATTTGCATCAGAATTCACAACACCAATACCACAAACATCAGAAGGTGATACACCAAACCGCTAAATGTTCCAGCAGCCTCGTGGACCCAGCCACCACCACTCCTGGGCCTGGCCCTAGTCACCGCCACTCCGCCTGCCCGGTACGCCACACCCGGGGTCCACTCTGCAGGTATGGCATTGCTGGCTATGAGTACCCGGCCTGAGCTGAATGTCAGGCGGAGGTGGAACGGGCCGTGAAGGGCAGAGCCAGAGTCGAGCCTCCAAATCGCACCCCACGAATGCTGCATCGGCACCCACTGCCCTGCCGAGCTCTGCATGATGTCGACGGCTGAAAGATCGCTTTCACTGTCCTCGTACTCGATGAGCACAGCCAGATAGTTCGGGTTCGAGCCGGAGTCAACAGAGAAGGTTACATCAACTCCAGGCCATTCGCACTGCACACTGTATATCCATATATGCATGCATCGTGACAAAGGTCAGCATAAATAAATGAGTTAAAAGATACGGGATAGTTGGTTGCAAGCAGCCGTTTTTGGTGCAGCTAAGTCCATGACCATGAAGAAAGAGTGTACATACCGAGTGTATTGGATTTGCAGCAGGCCAGCAGCACGGAGTTGATCAGCCATTCCAGGCTTTGCCATGGCACCAAATGCAGTCCCACTCATGTCGAAGTGGGCTCCCTCATTTAGGCACATGCCATCACTTGCTTGGCTCAGGCATGGGCCACCGCCAGGACCCTGGTCGGTGATGACAACAGTCACCGGGTAACCAGAGCAAGCTTGATTGCTAGAGCATACCACCTGATGAATCAGCATTTCTAAATGTCAAATAGCAGCTATGCACACATGCAATAGCCTCAATCACAAAGAGGCACACACACCTGATAGCAAGAGCCACATCCATTGCCAGAGTCATAGATGAAAGGGCTGCCAGCAGCAATCAAGGATGAGAACGGTGGTTGGTCGACGGCGTATTGGTACCCACATGCACCACCTACAAAGGGTGTAATTGAGACATGCATGCATTAGAAATTAACTATTCAAGGCACACACCAGTTTGAGATGAGCTACTATATGGTGACTGTTGAGACAAGGGATATTATGTAAATATTACCTTCACTTCCGGCGCCGTTAGCATCACCATACCACGTAGCTATGCCAGTGGTCCAGCTGGAGAGCTCACGGCGAAACTCAATGGAAACAGAAGGGTGAAGGTGCGAGGCAAAAGCTAAAATGGCAATGGAGGAGGACAAGAGCTGAATCTTGGAAGCCATACTGAAATCTGCACTGTGACAACAAGCTACGACTGATGAGGCCTAAAATACTGTGAATTTTGCAAGGGGGGAGAGAGAGAGGGGACAAGTAGAGTGGTGTCAAGGGCGTCGGCGTTGAGGGTAGCAGGACCCCGACTACGTAGTTCGTAGTCGCGATCCGTGACTAAGGCGAGGTTTTACCCCTCTGCTCTTAGCCGGTTAGGAAGAAGGGAGGAATAGAGGTTTAGATGATAATATCTTGCTTGCTTTATTCCATTCCACCGTATCAGACTAAATAGGCCTTAGAGGCTAACAAACTAGGAAATAATTGTTCCTTAATCTATGGAACTGATTTGATACTCTTCTATCCTAGCCACTAGACGGCTCAACTTGCCCTGCATGCCCAGAGGGCGACGGCGCGGCCCCAGCAGCGCGCTTGGCGGCGCGCCGTTTCCTCGCATAGGGGTGGCCCCACATGACATCTCTCCCCCCCCTCGACGAACAGCTCGTCCTCGAGCTGGAAGGATGGAAATCGGTCACGAAAGGAGTCCAAGTCTTCCCATGTAGCAGAGGCAGCAGGTTCGCCTTTCCACTGGATGAGCACCTGGCGGATCCCCCGGGCCAGGCGGGCGCGCAACGCGTGTTCCGGCTCCGGCTCCACCACACCGTTATGCATGGCTGGAAGAGGTGGCGGAGCATCTAGTGGGTTGCCCACCCACTTCTTCAGGAGGCCGACGTGGAAGACATCATGGAGCTTGGCCCGCGGGGGTAAGGCGAGGCGGACAGCCACGTCGTTGATGAGCTCCGTGACGTGGTAGGGCCCGAAGAAGCGTGGCTGCAGCTTCCCTTTGGGCGCCTGGGACAGTGAGGCGACTGGGCGATGGCGTATACGGAGCAGGACCCAGTCGCCCACAGCGTAGGAGACGTGCCGGTGATGCTTGTCGTAATGGAGCTTCTGGACAGCTTGGGCTTGCTCCAGCCGGTACCGCGCAGCCTCCAAGAACTCCTCGCGTTCCGCCATTGTTTGGGCCACCGCAGCCACGCGCATGTCCCCGGGCTCATAGGAGTGGATGGTTGGAGGATCGCGGCCATAGACCACCCGGAAAGGCGTGTCGTGCAGCGATGTCTGGTACGCCGTGTTATAGATGTACTCAGCCCACGGCAGCCAGCGGAGCCATAGACGTGGGCGGTCGCCGGTGAAGCACCTCAGGTAAATGGCTATGACACGGTTGGCCGCCTCCGTCTGGCCATCCGATTGCGGGTGGAATGCCGACGTCATGTGTAGCTTGGTGCCCATGAGTCGCATCAGCTCCTTCCAGAATGTGGAGGTGAACACGGGGTCCCGGTCGGACACCATGGACTGTGGCATCCCATGGAGGCGTACAATGTCGGTGAAGAATGCATGGGCCACGGACTCCGCCGAGTACGGGTGCGCGAGGGGGATGAAGTGGCAGTACTTGCTGAAGCAGTCCACCACCGTTAAGATGACGGACTTCCCCCGCACGCGTGGTAGCGCCTCCACGAAGTCGAGGCCAATATCAGCCCAGACTGCCATCGGAACCGGGAGGGGCAGGAGCAGGCCGGCCGGGTGGAGGTGCTTCGATTTGTAGCGTTGGCACGTGGCGCAGGCACGCATGAAGTCTTGGACGAGGCGGCGCATGTCGGGGAAGTGAAAGTCCCGGCGGAGACGATGCAAAGTGCGCTGCACCCCCTCGTGGCCGTCCTCATGTACCGCAACCATGATCTCCGAAAGAAGGGGCGATGTCGGTGGCACATACAGGCGGCTGTCGAAGGTCACCAGGTCGTCGGTGAGAGCCCACGGGGCAGCGCGCGAGCCCGCAACGATCTCGTCCTGGATGGCGACCAAGGCCGGATCGGTGGCCTGAGCTTGACGAAGACGCATGATGAAGTCGAAGCGCGGCGCGGAGATGGCCAGTATAACGCCGTCGTCCGTGTCGCGGCGGGAGAGCACGTCCGCGACCATGTTGAGCGCACCGGGCTTGTACTCGACGGTGAAGTCGAACCCGAGCAGCTTGCCGACCCAATGGTGCTGCAGAATCGTGGCGAGGCGCTGGTCGAGGAACTTCAAGCTGTAGTGGTCTGTGCGCACCGTGAAGCGACGTCCCCAAAGATATGGACGCCAGTTGCGGATGGCGTGGACGAGGCCAATGAGCTCTCGCTCGTAGGCGGCGAGGGAGCGGTGTCGGGGCGCCACCGGTCGATTGAAGTACGCACTGGGGTGCTTGTCCTGGATCAACACCGCCCCGAAGCCGTGGGTGGACTCATCGCACTCGACGACGAATGGTCGTGCGAAGTCCGGAAGCGCCAAGACCGGAGCTGAGATGACCGCGGTTTTCAGGGCCTGGAAGGCCGCGGCGGCGTCGTCGTTCCAGTTGAAGCCCTCCTTCTTTAACAGCGCCGTTAGCGGAGCTGCGATGGCGCCATAGTCGTGGACGAACTTGCGGTAATAGCCCGCAAGGCCCAAGAACCTCTGCACTGCCCGGCGGGGTCCATGGCGACGCCGGCGTCGGAGATGACGTGCCCCGGGTAGGCGATGGAGCGTTCGCCGAAAGCGCATTTGGAGCGCTTGACGAAGATGCGGTGCTGTTGCAGAACGGTGAAGACGGCGCGCAGGTGGCGAAGATGATCCGCCCATGATGCACTGTAGATCAGAATATCATCGAAAAACACGAGTACAAATTGACGAAGAAAAGGCCGCAGCACGTCGTTCATCGGTGCCTGGAACGTCGCCGGAGCGTTGCACAACCCGAACGGCATGACCAGGAACTCGTACAGACCGTCGTGGGTGCGGAACGCCGTCTTGGCGATGTCGTCGGGGCGCATGCGGACCTGATGGTAGCCCAAACGCAGGTCGAGCTTGGTAAAAAACTTGGCGCCGTGGAGCTCATCAAGAAGCTCGTCGACGACGGCTATCGGGAAGGCGTCCTTGACGGTGATGGCGTTCAGGGCGCGGTAGTCGACGCAGAACCACCACGAACCGTCGGCTTTCTTGACGAGGAGGACGGGTGAGGAGAACGCCGAGGAGCTGCGTCGGATGAGGCCTTGTGCCAGCATTGCGGCGCACTGGCGTTCCAGCTCGTTCTTGTGCGAGGCCGGGTAGCGGTAGGGGCGCACCGCGATTGGCTGCGAACCGGAAACAAGAGTGATGCCGTGGTCGCGGGCGCGGGGTGGTGGCAGCCCGTGCGGTTCGTCGAAGATGTCGACGAAGGAGGCGAGGAGCTCGTCCAGCAGAGACGGCGTCGCCGTGGTGGTGCAGATGGTGGTCATCTCGGGGCCCTGGACGCCCTGCCAACAAACCCGCTGACCGTTCCGGTGGAACGTCATGCGCCGGGCACCAAAATCCTAGAGGACAGGGCCCAATGTTGCCAGCCAGTGAGTGCCCAAAACCATGTCGAAACCTGCAAGGGGCATGACAAACAGATCGGCATGAAAGGTGTCGCCGTGGATGGCGATCGCGGCCCGGCGGATGACGCCCACGCAGGAGACGCGTTCGCCGTTCGCCACTGTTGCCGTGAGCCGGGGGCAGCGCTGTAGAGGAAGGCCAGTGCGTTGCGCCGCGGACTCGGAGATGAAATTGTGTGTGGACCCCGAGTCCAGGAGCGCAAGGAGCGAAGTACCCCCGAGGCTGACGTGGAGCTGCATGGTGTCGTTGAAACGAACACCCGCTATGGCGTGAAGCGAGAAGACGGGCGACTCCTCCTCGGCGGCCGCCGGTTCGGACGACTCCGGGACCTCCTCCGTGTCATCCACCAAGCTGTCCAGCAAGAACAGGCGTTTGCAGACCTTGTTATGACCGCGTACGAATTTCTCGTCGCAGTTGTAACAGAGGCCCAAAAGGCGGCGCTCCTCCTGCTCGGCTGTGGTCAGGCGCTTGATGGACCGGCCCTCCACGATGGCGGTAGTCGATGTGGACGACGTCGTTGTGGGAGGCGCTGGGAGGGCGAGACGTTGAACTGGTGCTGGCAGAAGGCCGCGCGTGGCAGCGCGGTGTGGCGTCGTGGTGTACTGCTCTCGCAGCTCTAGCTTGCGGGACAAACTCATCGCGTCGGCGAGGGTCTGCGGGTTGTGGACCTCGACGTCGAAGCTGAGCGGCGGTAGCAGGCCGCCGGTGAAGAGTTGTACCCGCTGGGCTTCGTCGAGGGGTCCCGCACGGGGAAGGAGCGCTTGGAAGCGGTCCTGGTACTCGATGACGGTGCTGGTGCGCCTGCAGTCCGCCAGCTCGAAGAGGGGGTTGGATCGGAGGGGAGGGCCGTAGCGGAGGTTCAGCAAGTCCTTGAAACGGCGCCAGGATGGAATGCCTTCGTCCTGCTGGACCTGGATGTACCACATCTGGGCGCCCTCCTCCAGATTGTAGGAGGCCATCCACACCTTCTCCTCCTCCATGATTCGCTGCTGATGAAAATACGACTCGCACCTATTGATGAAGATGAGAGGATCGAACTTGCCGTCGTACCACGGAAAATCCATCTTCTGGAACCGTGGCGGCCGGTCCTGGTGGTGCTCGCCGGTGATGGACTTGCCGGAGGGCGATCGGGAATCAGCTGTCAGGCGTTCGATGGCCCGGGAATTGGCTTCGACCGAGGTCTGCAGGGTCTTGAGGGTGGCGGCTAGGGTCTCCAAGGTGGCCTTGAGGTCGGTGTTGTCCCCCATGATGAAGGCGCTGCGATCGGCGGTCGATGAAGATGCAGAGGGCGGCGGCTGTGGAGAGGCGCCACACTCAGGCGAGGAACGCCGGGATCGTGATACCAGGTTGTCAAGGGCGTCGACGTTGAGGGTAGCAGGACCCCGACTACGTAGTTCGTAGTCGCGATCCATGACTAAGGCGAGGTTTTACCCCTCTGCTCTTAGCCGGTTAGGAAGAAGGGAGGAATAGAGGTTTAGATGATAATATCTTGCTTGCTTTATTCCATTCCACCGTATCAGACTAAATAGGCCTTAGAGGCTAACAAACTAGGAAATAATTGTTCCTTAATCTATGGAACTGATTTGATACTCTTCTATCCTAGCCACTAG